GGAAGTCACCCTGAGGGTCCCTGTGGGGTGTGGTGTTCCCCCCACCCCCAGTGTGTGCCTCCCCTTCCAGTCTGTGTTCCTGTTCTGTGCGACTGTTTTAATGGGTTTGCTCCACCATGTCTGCCTGAGCCCTCAGCACGGGAGGAGAAGGACAGCTGGAAGGATTTAACTGAGGTTATAAAGTCTGGGCCACTACCCCAAAGTCAGAGCTGACTGCAGGACTATTCTTCCTTTCAAAAACTATTAGGCGAGTGTAATAAATTAAGAGGAAAAACAGTGATCCCAATTCAGCTTTGGGACAGTTGCATTCTGTGAAAAATCAGATCAGCACAAGAATAAGGCAAGGATCAATGTGATCAGTAAGGAGGAGTTTTAGATTGAGGGTTTTAGTGACCATGTGAGGTTTAGAGACCTGGTTTTTGAGATAAAATAAAGAGGAGCTGTTTTCTTTATTAGGCCATACCATTAGTAAAAGTTTATTATTGATAAACAATACATTTATTATCTAAATTCATGTATCACCTAGAATATATTATTTTAAGTAAGCGGTTCTTTAACAAGAGTTTGTGAGGTTAAAGGTACCTGAATAATGAAAACAATTTTCTTTTAAAGCCTAGGTCCAATCTATAGCCCTCACAATGCAGGTAGCAAGATATCTGTGCTCTGAAGTACTATGTGCTATTGCATGCAAGTCAGGATTGCAAAACTGTCCTTGTAGAAGGATTGCAAATATGGAAAATTATTTCAGTGCTTGCAATTATTTCAGGATTAGTCACTCCAGAATTAAAAAGTGAAAAGTTAAGTTTTTGTCCATAGTTTTTCTAGCAAAGAATTACAAATTCTAATTAAAATCAGTATCAATTGAGTTAGAGTTGAAGTTGTTACCAACTCTGTCTCCTCTCTGTGTACTCTGATACATGCAAACTAAGCATGGCTACGAGCCTTGCAGGAATCTCATGCTGGCCACTTGTCAGCTGTAATATCTTCTACTTCTGGTCATGAGATTTTACTTGTGAGGTGCTGAGCACCCTCTGTGGATTCCTCAGCTATCCCAGCTATGTGTCAGAATAGCTGATGGAGTTTCCTTTCTTGCAAGATGGGATTTGTAATGGTAACAACACTCTGCTCTGTGAGCTGAGGAGCTGAAGTGGACCTCTGTTGACAAATACCACTACATTTCTTAATTTCTCTGACTTAATTTTTTTATTTCTGTGTCAGTTTGCAGCTGTAGACATCTCTCAGGGAAAAGTCTGGAATGTATTTTCGTTAATGGTCCAATTTTCCAAGTGCATTTTTTAACTCAACATATCTGCATGCATGATAGCTTTTTGTGTACAGTACTGCTATTCAGCCTCATGTAAATAAGTAATGCGACAGGAGAAATACTTGCTAACATTAATGCTTAAAGAGCTTCATCTTATTTTCATTATATAGGTTGTGTATGTATAATAATAATAATAAAAAACACATGATGTTGAAAAATACGCTGATGAAAGAAGAGATATGAAACAATGGGAATTTTAAGTGCCTAATGCTAATTGCAGGTATTTTGTTTGTTGTTGGGATTGATGTCTAAGTATTTTATAAGTAGTCACGAGGCTGCTGTCTGTCCATATATCACAGGTAACAAGGTTACCAATACTAATTGGAAGGACCAGATTTTCTCTGCTTAGCTTACATCAAGCTTCTGTGTCCATATAGCTATTAAATTAAGACTGAACTTAAAATCTTTGAAGAATCTCACTTGATCTCTTAATCTGAGTTAATCATCCTGGTCTCTCTTTATAGTCGATGGAGAGAAATATGTTCTCTTCAACTGATAATTTCTCTCTTCCTCAGGTGGGTCCCTGGGAATTCAGATGACCAGCCCTTTGGTTGTTCCTGGTTTTTATCCCAGACATAAAGGAAGCTTGGGGATGTTAGCATAGGATAACTGTCTAACTTTTGAATATGGGCATGTGGACCAAATTAATTGCTCAAAAGGGCAAGATTTAACTATTTTCTTTTACTCCCTTTTTTTCTTTTCACACCGTTACTCTTATTTGTGTGGAAGTCATTGGTCTGCCAGCCCTTAAGGTAACTTAACTTGGCACTTGCTGTTCTGTGTTGCCTCTGTTTATGTCACAGAAAATGAGGTGTTTAAATCGTTTTACTTTTGCTGGATGGAAAAGTCTTTGTTGTGAAACTGGAATGGCTCCACAGGAATCTATCCTCATGAGTGAGGAATGTGACACAAGAAAAACACTGTCAACTTTGCTGTCGCTCCTAATTTTTGGCTTTCCACTTTTGATCATCTGGCATGATATTAAAGAGGGCACAGCATGGGCTGGTGAGGAGCAATCCAGTACCTCTTTAATCCACTTGCACAGGACTTATTTAATCAGTTTTTGTGGCAATCAAACAGTTGAAGGCATTTGTGCAGAGTGGACGTTCATTATAATTGGTGTGATTATGCCAGTCCCAAGGAGTCCAACTGAAATGTTGCCAAAATGTGTTGGGAGTATGAATTTTCTTTATTAACTTATTTATACACTTAGACAACCTGTTGTTAAGTGAAAACATGGTGTTTCACCCATGTGGCATAATCAGAACAGTTATTAGGACTCAACTGAAGCTTATGGGAACAGTACACAGGAAAAAACCAAAGCTGCTATAACAGGATTGAGGAATCTCAGTTTTCAATGCAGTTTGATCCCTGTGTTCTCAATAATTGACTTTTAAAAATAAAGAATAAATAATTCAATAATAATAATTGACTTTTTAATAATATAATAATAATTGACTTCAATAGTGGAACATAGGAGTAGTTCCTGAGGCTCATGGTGGCAATTAACTGATAGTGCTTCTTTCTACTCACTTGTACTTGCACTGTACACCTGCAAAGCACTGCTGTATCAGTCTTCACTTTTCTGTGCAATTTCTTAATCTATAACAGAATTTGCAAGGGAACTTTTTTAGAATTAATTTTATCATTTTGGGGGGAAGCCTGATCTAAATTAAATTTTTCCTTTGAAGAGGGTTTTTGGTTGTTTTTTTTTCAAAATCATTCACCCTGTGGATGTTCAAACACTCTGGCATTCAGATCAGTTTTATGACTTACCAGTCCCTGCAGAGGCATGCTTTTAGTCTGCCCATACAAATTCACATACATGCTGTAAATCTACAACATCTACTCTGTGCCTTTACTTTTTCTTTGCTCTTCATCTGAGCAAGAGCTTGTTCTTGGTTTGGTTTGGTTTTTAGTTCTGTTTTGGATTGCAACACCACCAACAGAGTTTTCTTTTTTGGCTATTTTCTCTCCTTGTCTGCAAAGATGGCACCTGAGGTTTCCAGGTATAAACTTTGCTCCTTTTGTTGGAGAACCAAAATGTAAGAAACAATTTATTGGAAGGGTAGGAACTTTGAATCAACACTGATAAAGAATTGAGCACAAGATTCCAGGAAGACTCCTCCATGAAGCTGGCAACCATGAGACTGATCCCCATGACCACCACCTTCTGAAACCTGAAGTACTAACACACAAAGTCTTAGGCTGCCACTGAAAGGTTTCAGAGAAAAAAGAAATAGTAACCAGCTGCCTCTCTTCTGTATCAACCACATTCAGAGGCAATGGTATCAGCTGCTTCTGGTAGGTGGGGCCACAGGACCCCTTTGCCATAGTGTACAGCTCTAAGTGACAGAGCTATTTCATGAAAGCCTGGCTCCCTCTGTCAATGCTCCCCCTGTTTAAAGAGGTCTTTATTCTAACAGGCTGCCTTGGGTCTCAAGGAAGTCTGACCAGCACATACTCCAGCTGGAGTTGCAAATACAAATTTAAATGCTAAAATTGATTCTTTGATCTCTCTGGGACAGAGGATTTGGCTGCTCCACCGATCCCCCAGCTGCAATCTTTATTCCTGCATAGCCTGGGACTCAGAGTGGCATCATAGGTACTAGTTACATAGCAAGAACCTGGCTCCTTGTTTACAGGAATCAGTAACACAAGGGCTTAATTAAGCTCTATTTGGTTCTGCTGGCACACAAACTGCTGTAGCCCCTTACCTGCTATAGGTGCAGAATTATTCTGTGCATGCCCTGGGAACATATTTACTTATTTCTTCATTAGGGCTAATTTTTTGTATTTGGCAGTACTTACCTGCCTGCCACCAAGAAGCTCCCTATTGTAAACATAACAAGAATCTTGGTTCAGCTCCACTTTTGCAGTTACTCCTTCATCTTTCTTAGGGCAACATTACTAAAAATACACTTAGAAGATCTAAGAGCTTTCCTTTTTTTTTCCTTTCCTCCTGCTGTCCTGTTTTGGCATCTGTGTCTATTGTTACCTGGAATTAAATTGAAACATAGTTTTTGATATAGGTTATCACCATGACTATTCAGTTTGGTTTTCTACTGCACCACATCAGCTTAGGCTACATCCCCTGTCACTTCTCAGGATTTTTTTTTTCACAGGAGCCTGTTCAGGTTTGAGGAACTTCCCTCACAGTTGTTTACAGTGTGAATGTGTGTGTGAGCAACCACTGACAGAAGACTGTTTCTCACAAGCAACTGCACTTTCTTTGATGTGTGATGTCTCTGTGGATATTTATAACCCACCTGCTCTTTCCTTTTGCCTCATTCCATGTTAAAAAAAAGTTGTTTTCAGGGGTTGGGAGGAACTGTGGGTGTAGGGTGCTGTCTGTCCTGTTATACTCCACTAGTGTAAAGATAAGGGTGAATAAGGCATGACTGCATCCCTGCAGGAGGTGGTGAGACTAAGAAGAATCAGGTTCAAAGGTTTACATGTGCACACTGCAGAAAAAAACACCACACATACAACCTGTCTGTCAGAACTTCCAGCCAGTAGTCAATAACCTTCCATTAAATCTGGACACTTCTTGATTGTTCCTGATGATAATTCACCATACACTTTAGTTCAATACAAGATAGGCTTCCACACTTATTTATCATTTATTATCGAAGTATTTAGTAATATATTTAGCTCTGTTTTGATTTTCCTGTAGTTTGCAAGAAGAAAAAAGGCTTCTTGAAAATGAATGTAGAAGAATTCCAAAACAAGGGGTAAGTACAAAACATGAGAAAAGCTATACCTTATGTTCTTTTTTCACAGTGCTACCTTTTTTCGCACTCTAGCTCCAGAGTTTATTTAAAACCTGGAATATATATAGTCAAGAGATATATTTTGTAGGAGAAGTTATATGATATCATTCAGGTTTGATAACTCTAGGGTAAGAAGTGAATAACTGATTCACAAAAGGTCTGGATTTTCTTGAGTTTATTCAAAGAAGTTTTTTTACTGAAAAGGATACTGCATGTAAAGGTAGCTGCAGGTTTTTGGTTCTAGGGTGTGAGTATGGAAAATACATTTCTTGTCATAGCTCTTGATGAAGGTATGTGGACATAAAATTCTGCTGGTTATTGGTAGAAAAACACACAGCTGTTAAAAAAAAAAAGTATTTATTTACTTGTAAAAATTGTATCATCATTCAATGTTAATGATGCTGTAATACCACAAGCTTGCAAAACATAAAAGGGAAAATAAAATTAATCTGATCTTTTACTTCATTTCTAAAGGAACTTGTTCAGAATAGTAAGCAGCTGAAAGAAAATTATGATGAGCTCTGCAAAGAAGTAATCCAAAGGAAAGCAGAAATTAATGCAATAAAAGAAGATGTTTCATCCAAGGAAAAGCTGATATTAATAGATAAGGAAGAAACGGAAAAACTTCTGGAGAAGCAGGCTAATTTAAAAGTAACACAAAATTGATTGTGTGCATGCATATCTGTGTGCATGTGTGGATGTATGTGTATATGGTACATACTTTGTCCAAGAAAACAGGGAATCTTCTTCTGGATGTTGTTTAAAATCCCAGATTCATTAGGAGGCATTACATTATATATTACATCATGTTTCAATAGGCATGGAGCCTGCTGCTGTGCCATATCCATTATTACTCCTTTGGGAAATAAAAATAGTCATGGTTTTGATTAAAAAATTGTTTCTCTAATGACATACTTGCTATGTTGTGTTATTGCAGGCTGCTCTAATATGTGCTTAGATCCAAGTTAATACAGATTTATGCAGAGAACTAAAGAATATACCCAGGTCTTTGCCACTTTCCTTTCCATGGTATAGATACCATCATCATACATATTCACAGTATTCAAGCATAATTTTTTGTCTTGCAGACATAATGAAATGGTAAAAATCATGTTTCCTTTCAAAACTACCAGCTGCACTTCCATGGGACAGACTCAAGTAATCTGAAAATATTTTTCTTGCCTGTTTTCCCTGCAGTTCTGGGTGAATATTACTTGTATGACATCTCACCAGATTTTGAGGCTATTAATCTAAATTTTCTGGTTTGTCACTAGGATGAGCTAGTTAAGATCCTTCCTGTTCCAGTACATCTTGGAAGACAAAATGAGAAAATTACTAAGGAAAAAAAGTATGCTTTTAATAAATATTTTTATATATATATGTATAACTTCTTTTCATCCATTTTTTACAGAGGCAGTTGAGTTGTTGATTAAAATTAGGATCAACATTTTTAAAAGTATCTATAGTCCACTTAGAATCCGTGCATTGTACTGAAAAATATAGTATATGCAGTGAACCATTTTACATTTAAGTACAGCAAAGAAAAATTTAGAATAAAGCCTTGACAAAAATATTGTTTAACCATCTTATTGTGCTTTGTTACTGTGTATCAGATCTTCTTAGATTTTTAATGGAAAATAATGTTGCCATATAATCTAGTGATTAGGCTTTTTTACAGTTTCTAGTCCTCAGTGCCTGTGTGTTTGCTTATCTCAGTTGGCCTCAGTGAAACTGGCAGCTCTCACAGCTAAACAGTCTGGCCTGAGCTAAAGAATCGTTTTCCCTTGATACTTCTGTAGCAGTTTTTAGTCAGAGGTGCTTTGCTGTGAGCTCCTGACCTCAGTTCTGGTGTCCAGTATTTCAACATGGAAAACGTCAGCCAGTAGCCAGCCTCTTTTGTGTAGCTGAGGCTTTTTCTCCCCTGAAGCATGACATGTGCTGGGTTATGTGTGTGTAAAATCTCATGAGCACAGTCCAGTTGGAGCCAGGTCACTGCCAGATCCAAGTGCCTCCCAGATGCACCACATGTTTGTACCCTATATGTGGCACACAGTTACACAGGAGTCTTTGTGTCTCCTGCTTGCAGTGTGTCTCTCCATTTGAAATATAGAAACTGTTTGACTATGTTAAATGTCTCTGTTTTATAACATGCATAATGTTTTTTACATTTTCCTCACTACTCTGCTTAATGTAACTGTGCTCTCATGGATGTGAGTTTTTCCTACAGTGTTAACAGAGAAGCATTTTTAAAAGCCTGGTGCATTTTGTAAATTGAAGCATTTAAATTAATATTTCTACTCCTGCTTCACCACAGAATAAACTAGCTAGAATTTCCAGCCTTAGGAGTAATATTTAGAAGAGTTGCACCCACGTACTGAGTAACTTCGATAGAAATCAGTTTACAAGAGGTTTTTTAAATACTGTCATGGTGCTAAGCTCCCTGGTAGTCCCATGGACACCTTAATTGTATTGCTGAACTGTGTTGGCATTTTCACTGTGTGTAGCCTGCTTTCAAGCATGTAACATGGACAGTTGTGGTGTTGAGATGATTTTGTGTGTCCATGAAATCTGGCAACTTACATTTTGCCAATTAAATATGCATATGGAAATGTGACCCCCTACTGTTTTGTTAAACTATATCAACAGTGATGCAGAGAAGAAGAAAGAAGCCCTTAATAAAAAGATAGAAGAGTTGACTGGTACCCTGAAAGCCATTGAGGAAAGGAAGAAAGAGATTTTGCAAGAAAGAGAAGATGTAACGAAGGAATTGCATGGGAAACAAATTTTGCTAGAAAGCAAAAAGGAAGAATGCATTCATTTGACAAAATTACTGGAAATTAGCAGAGGGAAGGAATTAGCAGTCCTATCAGACAGGTTAGAGTAGTATGAGTGAACAATTCTCTGTTCAAACATGTTTTTCTTTTTTTCTGCTGTATTGCTTCTGTTTGCAAGTTTTTGTGCTGCAACCAGAACAAGCTAGAAACTATCAGACTTGGTTTTTACTTCAGAAAGGTTGATATAAACTACTGGAATCTATGATCTGGCTTAAAGAAGAACATCGAAAAGCATAAATATTTGATAAAATCCTGGGGCAGTGAAACTGGATTTTGCTCTTAAAAGGCAATCTTTTAGAGGCTTCCTCTCTCCAGTGAAAAGGATTTTTTTCAGTGTAACCCATGGAAAGTAAATTGAGCAAGGAAAAGTATGTCAGTATCTTCATTTTCAAATTAGGATGATAGATTTCTGCACCCACATGCTCCTGAATTTCAGTGGGGATGGTTACTTATCTCTTTAATATTCCCTTGAATTATGAGGTTGTGTATACTTGGTAAGGTAAAAGAAACTGTTAGTTTGATTGCAAGCTTCAGGTTATTCCTTCTTTGCAGAGGAAGATGCATAGCTGGGATTGTGGCCTTATGTGTAGTAACAAGGCTTCTGCTTTAAAAGTTTTATATTAAAGGATAGGGGCACTTCAGATTGAAATGTTTGAGTGAAGTGAACATGTAAATATTTCCTCATACTAAAAAAAGATGTTTTCTTCTTATAAGTAATAGTTTCTCTGGAACTATTCAGAACAGACTGTGAGACCTCATTGACATAATTAGGAATGTCACAATTGATTAAAGTTATTAACATGCTAGCTTTTTAGGTAATTTGTGTCAGTAGTTTCTGAGTTTATCTTGCTACTCTGCCATGATGATGCAGTATTCAAAACACAAAAAAATTATCATGCCTTTTTGCATACATGTCTTGGTCAAGTTACCTGTTTCTAAAATTCTGTGTCTATCTATATAGGGCAGATCTGGAAGATGATTTAAAGAAATGTGCCTTGGAGAAAAAAAACCAACTGGATATTCTCATTCACATGCAAACACAGAAAGACAGAGAAGCAAGAAGCTTAAAGAAGATAGAATTTCAACTGAATACGATGTCTGATTTCATAAAACAAGATAAGTCACAGCATGAAAGACTCACATTAGAGGTCTGTATGAATATATTGATCATGAATATTCTAAATTTTCTTGTAAGAAACCTGTCTATGAAATCTTTTGACTGGTACTAAAAAGGGGAAGGAGAGCAAAGTGTCAACAATACTACAACTGACAAAGAAACCTCTCTGTGCTCTCTCTGTAATGAAAATAGCGTTTCAAGATAAATTTGAGTATTCTTAAGAAATGCATTTTAGGATGGGATCATCCTATCAAGGAGAACTGGAAGATTATATTGACACCGTGACATTGTGGCTTCCCTTAAAACACTGTGGGATTCTGGGCATTTTATGGATGCAATAATACAGTGAGTTGCTCATTGGCATACAAGAAGTTTGTAGCAGACAAACAGACAAGTACTGGCTGACTCACAGATTATGAAAAGATACATCTTTTGAAAATTGGCAGGTTGTTTGTACATTATCTAACATTATTCCAGGAGACAGGAAAAGAGCATTAATAAAGTTTGGTATTAAAAGATATTACATTATTCCCTGTGTTCTCTTCCTTTCAGGTTTGTTATTTCTCAGTCTCTTCCCTGCATTAGTATTTCACCCATTCCTCTTTCCATACTCATTTACTCTCTTCTGTTTTATTTGTGCCTTCTTGTATTCTGATTTTAAAGGGCTGACTCATTCTCTTTGTCTATTCAAAACATTTCCTTTGTTTTCTCTTTCCAAATATTTCTAAACAATTTACTTTGTCTATAACTTTTTCATGTTCTCATAATTTCATCACTAGTTCTTCCATTCTTTCTTAATCTTTTCTCCTATATTGGCTCCTTGCTTTGTCTTAATTGTAAGTCAGTCTTGTAAAATTAATCTTGCTTAGTCAGGTTAATATTTTTTCACAGGAGAATATCCTTTATCTGAGTTAAAAACAAACTGACCTGATGTTTCCTACCAAGATACACAGCATAATTGACATTTTTCTTGGTCTTCCTAAGCAGTTCAAGGCAGAAAAAAAGGTCTTATTTACATTACTATGAAGTTTTTAAAACTAACTGTATTATATCAAAACCTATAAATACTTAGCTTTGCTATTTAAACAATAAACATTAGTCAATAGCATTTAATATTAGTAAGAGAAGGGTTTTTTTCTATCTCCACTGAAATTCCTCCTGAATTCACGTGTGTATTCATTATCTAGTAATATAAGCCTGCTTGAGAGGAGGGAGGAAAGTGCCATAACTGCACTAAAAAGTTTAAGATAGAAACTCCCGAAATATTTATTAAAGGACTGACTTGTATTCCAAACTTTGATCTAAAAGCTCATATTATGCAGTACCAGCTGAGTTCAGGACCAGTTTCTGTTCAGTATCAGCTAAGGGAAAGGGAAAGTATCATGTAGGAAAGGGAAGGAGATCTGAAAGGAGACCCTCAGAGGTAAAGCTGCACTGCAAAGGATTCCCTCAGAGTTCATAACAGGTTATCCTATGGGCTTGTATGTGTCTTGTGAGGAGCATCATCATGAGGAAAGGGAAGGCTGGGAGAGATGGAAGAGTAATTATATGCAGTATTTAACCCCAGAAGTTGCAGGATGCTACCCTAATGCAAACATGCCGTGGCAATATAGTTGCTTGTCCCCCCATGTTCTGTGTTTTCTCTGATTTCTTTCTTGGCCCTTTTAGAAGAGCAAATGTGAATCCACAGCTCCTCTGCAGCATGGTCAGTTCAAATGCAGCACAAATGACTAGATTGGCAAACGTGATTCTGCTTGGCTTTTGCCCTCTTGAGACTATAATTTGGAAGACTTAGGAGCACACTTAGGAAAACTTAAAATATTTTAAGTTGTTAAAATTTAACTACTTAAAAAGCCAGATTTATATTTATTCTGTGTGATTCCAAGTGAAAAAGAAAAAAAACCACAAGAATTAATTCCTAGTATGAAAACGTGATTGCAGAGGCAGCAGCACAACAGTGTCCTTCCCCAAATTTCTCTTACTTTAAATCACGTGCCCAGTGCAGAATGACTGGTTTGTAGAATAAGGAAATTACAGGCACACTTCCTTCAAATGTGTTTTTCTTCTCAGTAAGTTGTGAAAGGTCAGTTATTGCTAAACACCAACATTCTGTGTGAAAGAGAACTGGCCGCTCGGGCTGCTGCCAGCCTGGAGCAGAGCTGCTGCTCCTCTCTGTGCACGTCTCCTCTTTGGTCAGACCAACACAGAGACGGCCAAAAGTGCCGAAGTTTAGTCATGTCTTATGTGAACAAAGGTTCTTCATGGATTAAAGATGTTTATATTAATTTTCTACTTTTAGACTCAAGAACTTGATGGCGTCTTTCAATCCCATCTTTATAACGTGGGGATGCTCACTCACAGCCTCCACAGGTTTTACACAGCAGAATGCTGACTAATACATGCTCCACAGAAAGGCTATGTTTGCTTCTTCCATAAGAGTGAAAGCAACTTGCTTAGGATAAGTTTTCTTGACCTTTTAGCAAACCTAAGTAAGTCAAATCTGTCTCAGAGTTGGTAGCTGAAACCGAAGTAACTCCAAAGATTGACCTTTACTGTGCCTCTTGTTTCCTTTAATGCAAGTAAACATCTAAGCTTACCATATTATCACAGAAGTAAAAACCATAAGTACAAAACATCTCCTTATCTCTACTGAGGTACAGTGTTTTGAACTCTAACATCTGGCTGAGATCTCAGAAAGATAAGAGCTTCTAGATGTGTCATTCATTGTCATTTTTTCCCACTTGTGTGAATTACAGGTTTGCAGTTATGGACAGACAACACACTACTGCACAGTTAACCTGTTGCATTTATCTGTATTCATTTATAACATTCAGGATTTTTTAAGTGAAGTTAGTCACTGTGAGACCAATGCAACCTTTTTCTTTTGAGTCACACAAGTAGTTGTAGTGGGATTGTTCAGATACATTTTAATGAGAAGGTAGTTTCTACTGTGTCTTCCTTCACACATTTCATTTTAAAATCTGACTGAATAAATATATTTTTCCCTGATGTACAAGAAAAAATAATACATATCTGTTAGTGTTGTTAGTTTTCACTTTTTAGAGCTTAAGGAGGAGGAAAAATGTTAATACCTAAAAGATAAATATATATATATATATAAAATCTACACAGATGTGAAATATTAACCCTATCAAAATCAGTGATAAATCTATTTTCTTCTGCAGTAAGGTCATAATTTCACTCAGAAAATCTTCTGTGAATTTGGAAGGTGACATCTTTGCATAGTCACTCTTTGTGACTTTTTTAATGACAGTTTAGGTGCTGGAAAACATTACCCTTATAAATTCAGTACTTAAACGGGGCTTTGTGAAGTTTAGTGTTTACAATTAAATTCTTAAAAGAAAAATTAGAGAAGGTCGAATGCATTGCTGAGGAACTCTACTGAACTAAGAATTCTTGGCCTAGATCTTGTAACAAGACAGAAATTTCATTTCTTAACGTGTGTATCTACTTCAGAGAGTTTATCTGCAGTTTACATGCTTCACATCTTTTGTTTGCATCACTCGGTGTGCTTGCTTCATTTTTGTAGGTGGAAACTATGGCCAAAAAGAACAGAGAGTTGTTAGAAAGACGACGAGAACTGCAGAAGGAAATTGAAATAACCAAGAGAAAACTAGTTGCACAGGTGCTGAGTTCTGCTTTCTTATACTTTTTCACTACAACAGCTGGTTTTCAATCATGAGAAGAGGCTGTTTGAAGAAAAACATGATGGAAGTTTCTAGTTGGAGCTTTCTAGTGAAAAAACGTGGTAGTATTTGTTTAATTTAAAGACTCCTTGTTTGTAATTTTTAAAAAACTTTTTTTTTGGTGTAACTAGTCACATATTTGAGGCAGAAAGAAAATCTGCTTTCAAGGTTAAGTCTTTCTGAATATCAGTAACAAATTTACAGCTAGAAATATGATGGGTATACATTTCTTTGGGATATGGGGATATGGCACAGTGTCTTGTTGAAACAAGAACAAGTCAGCATTTGTACATTATAATTTTTCATTTTCAGAATTGTGTAATTTGTGGGTGTCTGTTTGCAGTCAGCACAGCCATATACAGTGTGGAAATGCAGATGTCTTGATTGGAAGAGTATCAGCACTTTCTACTATAGACATTACTTTACAAGAAGCAATATATTTCAGATATACCTTCTTAAGATTATACCTCCTAATCATCTTTCCCTTATAACCATGTTTGTGCTGTCTTTGAATTCATTATCATTATCTGGTGGGAATCAGCTTCTGTTTGAATACATATACATTTGGTATCTGTATGTCATTTTTTGTATATGGAATATGCATCTAATGTGCCACCATAGTCCATAACAATCTCGTGGAGTCAGTGGAGCCTGGGAATTCATCCAGTCACCTCCTCCTGAAGAGGTCAGCCTACATTGGGTAGAACAAATGGCTTTTTAGAATTCCCTGACTGTACTGACTGGATGTCCAACAACTTGAGGTCTCTAGATATTCTGTTCTGTTTCAAAATTCTAAATCTTATCTCTTAACGTGACAGCTCAGTGTCATCCATTGTGTGGTATGGACACATCAAGATGTGACAGTGACCTTATCTAAAGATGTTATGGGCCATAAGGACCCGTTCTGCCCAATGGGCAATAGCTGAAAGACAGACTGGATTGAGGAACAGAAATGCTTCTAGGTGATAGAATATTTTTATATGTTATTACAAGGATTGTGGATGGTATTTCAGCTGGTATTTTAAAGCAGTATTTCATTTCTTTTTAATCCATGTAGTCTATACATATGTGTACTTTCCCTATAAACCCAAAGTATTTCCAACTTGGGGTTTGCCAACACAGATGCATCAGTGCCAAAGGTATTGAATTTAATTTTCTTTAGGAAAGGGTGTCAGAGAAGGATGCTCACATGTTAGAAGATTGTATTGCTGAAGAAAGGCAGCTTTTCAAAGAGCTGGAACAATGTAGAGCTGAGTTAACCAGACTTTCACACCTGAATTTGCTCAGAATTGAAGAGAGGGAACAGAAATTAAGGGATGTTCAGAAAGCCCAGGTAAACAAATCTCTCATATAATTTGAAGGTTCTTTTAAAGTGAAGGTTGGCATATGGAGGAATTAAATTACTAGTGGGCAGAGCCTTATGGACCCTTGTTCCCACTTCACTTTGAAGTTTTATCACAACAAAGGAAGCTCAGAATACTGAGTTGTTTTATTGGCAATTTATGGTGCAGTGCAATAGTATATTAAAATATCTTGCCACAATTGAAATAAGGGATTCGAAAGGACATTTTCTTTCAAGCCTATGAGACTGTTAGGAGTAATTTCTTTTATTAAATTTCCTTGATATATCTAAAGTACTCACTGAATTGTATTTACATTTCAGATACAACTCCAAAATGCTATTAGCGAAATAAAAAGAAAGGACCTTCAAATAAAAGACTATACAAAGAGGAAAAGAAAAATAAAAAATGAGTAAGAAAATAATGATAATAATAATAATAATGGCACATTAGCTAAAAAATATTTTGGAAGCCATTTTTATCCAAGTAATGTATGTATAAAATTATTATAATTATTTCTTCCACACTTGTCATTTCCACAGACTCCAAAGACTTGCTAAAACAGCTGATGTTATCCTAGAGGAAAGGAATACATGTTTAAATTTGGTGCATGCTGCTCAGCAGAAAGCGAGTGAAATTAAAGACCATGTAAAATTGCTAGGAAATGAAATAGGAAATTTAAGGAATATTGTTACAACAAAGGAAAGGTGAGTTTTAAGTAACTTATAGATCACAATTGCAGAAATGTAAGATTAGAAAGAATCTTTTTAAAAGCTAATCTAGTCCAACTTCAGCTATGCCTGTATCATCCTTGGTGGTGCTTATCCTGATTTTTAAAACCTGATTCAAAAGCATTTTGCAAATCTCTTACAAAATCTCTTCAAAAGTTTTGTCACCCTTATACCTCACAATTAGCCCAGGAATCACTCCATGGTACAATTTTTGAAGTTTGTCTGGTTACCCTCTCACTTTTCTGCCCTTTAAAGGGATAAATTTTCATTACACTTCTTTTGTGTCACAGCTCTTGAGTCTCTAGTATCTGAATTATCATGCATTTTCATTCAATATGAACAACACTGTTGTACTCTTACTTTCTTGTCCTTAGACAAAAAGAGGTGCCAAATATATGTGATTTCACAATAGATTGCTACATGGTGCTTTTAAATAAGTCACTACTAGTAATGTGGCTGCCTAATTATTAAATTAGAACTAACTGAGTTTCTTGGTTCAAACTTAAACTGAAGTTTATTGGGTAACTTTTATTTCAGATCAAACAAAACATGGTTTCAAATTCCAGGCAGTCAAAATGAAAGGTTACATTCACAAGAGGATGAGGTGCTTGTGACTACACATTTTCCTAAATTATTATTTAGTGGAGGTATCTTTTTGCCTTTTTTTTTGGTTGTTGTCATCTGAGTGATGATATTCTGCAATATAAACAGAATGACTATGTCCCTGTGATCGATAGGTGGGAAAGCAGGAAGACAGTGAGTAGCTTACTCTGTATGCAAAACAGCACAGCCAAAATTGAGTAGTTCTAAAATAATCTGATTTTCCGAAAACTTTGTGTTTCGGTGCCAAAGAATTGCACAACTAGAGCAAGGAATGCATTCATTGTGAATCTCTGAGTAGCTTGATTTCAAAGTCATGCTGGAGGTAACTATAAATGAAGAGGAACATCAGTGATTTCAAGTAATTTTGTCAAGATGCACAAGCTGATACTTTGTGGTAGAATTTTTGTGGCCTTCCCAGTCAATTACTGATGAAAGGAGAAAAAAAAAGGATAAGGCAGCAGGTATGTGTTGTCTAGATATCAGAATTATCTAAGTATTGTAGACAGCTCTACAGATCCAACAGACATTCTGATCTCTGAAAACCTAGATTTCAAACTAGCAAGTGGTACTGAATTTCCAGTAATTCTCTTGCCTACCAAAATATATTTTAATCCAAATAAGAGATTTTAGTATCGTAGTATCACTGATTTAACTGCAACCTACACAACTGGGGGGACAAAGTATCTGTCTCAATAAGACATTTTTATTCAGAAAATATTTAATAAGATGTTGCATTTTCATTGGTCAGGCATTTTTTCAGCCTGAAACTCACTTTACAAAAGTTTAATTCAATTCAGTAATACCCTGTGGAACTCAAGTGTGTTATAAACACAGAGGAAATGAACCAGAAGCTCCCTGCTCAGTACAGGGTGTTTCAGCCATGTCATGACAGAGCTCATGAGGATATTTTATCTGCAGTTCTGTATTTAACAGGAGACCATGCTTCTCCTTTCACTACCTCTTTCATATGATGACATGTATCTTCCCAGTGTAGATAAAGTAGTGATCAAGAAGTTACCACAATCAAATGCAGTAACTCTGAGTTCCGTGTGGTGAGCAAATGAACGATCCGTGTGGCAACAAGAGTCTGTTCTTTAAATGAGGGGCCGCCATGTAGTGGCCAGCAGGGTTGCTGGAAATAATCATAGAGGCATAGAAGACAGTGGTTTGAGTTGGAAAGGGCTTCAAACATCATGTAGTTCCAACCCCCCCTACATGGGCAGGGACACCTCCCACTAGACCAGGTTGCTCAGAGCCTCATCCAACCTGGCCTTGAACACCTCCAGAGATGGAGCCTCCCTAACTTACCTGGGCAACCTGTTCCAGTGTCTCACCACCCTAACAGTAAATAATTAAAGTCGTGAGACACTGGAACAGGTTATCCATGGAAGTTGCGGATGCCCCATCCCTGAAGTTTTCAAGGCCAGGTCGGACAGGGCTTTGGGCATCCTGACCTAGTGGGAGGTGTCCCTGCCCATGTAGGAGGGTTGGAGCTAGATGATCTGCAAGTCAAACCATTCTATGAGTCTGTGATTCTATGATTCTTTCTTTTTTGAATGTTGGGATACATTGTTTTATAAACAATAAACTTGAAGACCTTTGAATTGCAACCATAAAATTATTTAAATACTGCTCTTTAAGTAAAACAGGATTTCTACACATCAAGTCTTTACATCACAGTTTATGCTTCTGCTCTTGTACTTTATGTCTTATGTCTCCTTGGGCTACCCAGGAGAAGAAAAGACCTGGAGTGCAGTGCTCTGTTTATAGATTATTTTTTTTCTTGGGCCATAACCCAGTTCACTTCAAGCTGGAAAGAGCTTGCAGAGAAAAGTTGTTCTCAGAGAGTTGTTTTTGTAGTGCTTCTGTGAAGCAGAGTGACAGAGAGGACAATCTGTGTATTTAAGGAGTTTAAGCTGGTTTTAATTGCTGAAATTGCTTTCAAGTTGAATAGGCTAAGATCTTTCCTACTCTTCTGTTACATTATAGAGAACTGCAGAAGCAACACCTGAAGAATACAAATAATGCAGCAATTACAGAAAGCCTCAGAAGTGATTATTTAAGAATTGTTAAAATCATGCAGGAGATGGAAGAAAAGAAAAATCAACACTTCATGGCTCTTGAGAGGCTTAGCTGTAGGGCCACCCAGATTGAGGAGGGAACAGCACAGCTATGTGAAAAATATGAAAGGGCTATTCAGCAAAAAAATGAGAGGTAAACGTACATTTGATATCATCTAGTGTTTGGTTTTCACATTGGTGAAGAAACAATATTTGGCAGCTTATGAGCACTCCTCATTAGGAATATTCACTGCAGTGTTGTGCCTCACTGCAACATCCATGCTGTGGTGCTTTACACAGATGTATTCTCTCCCTTGGTGAAAATGTTTGTTCTTCAGAACCATTATTGAAAAATATGGTGGATTAGCTATCGGAGGCCTGGAGAGCTTGTAGCCTCCTGCTCCATCTGTGCTTTGTGCAGAGATAAGGTATAAAACTGCAAAAGATGTAAAGTTCCCTGATCATGTTAATCCATTTTTAATGAATTCTATGGAAGGCCAGAAGAGCTTTTAAAATATGAGACTAGATTAACATTCACAATTATTAGTTCTCTGATTTTCACATTGTATTTTGTTACTCATTTTCAATCTTATAATGATATTGAAATAATATTTGAGAAACCTTTGTATATTTCCCCAGATTATTACTATCTTTCAAGGTTGCCAATTATGTCCTTGAATGGAATACACTGGATATGAGTTAATTTTTTATCTCTTCATTTTGGGCTTATTGCAGTGGACTACAGCTCAGAGAGCGAGAAGAAGAACTATGCATTTTATATGAAAAAATGAACATTCACGAGGTGTTGTGCAGAGATGGAGGTGTTAAAATGCAAGTTCTGGATGAAAAGATCAAATTTCTGAAGTTACAGGTAGCAGAGGAAGAGAGGCAAATTAAGTTGTGGTCCAAAGCACTCCCAGTGAAGAATGCCCTGGATTCGCTTCTGGTGGTTCTTCAGATACAGGTTGGTGGGAAAGAAAGCTTATTGTTTGTTATAATATTATAACATGTTATACATGTTATAATATGTTTTAAAACTTAAGGTCATTCCACAAAAAAAAAAAAAAAAAATTCTGCATGTACAAGGTTTATTCAAACAGAAAGTTCATCAACACACGTCTAGCAAAGCACTGGTGCATGTTTCTAACTTCATACATGTGAGTTTCTACCCTTTTGTGCAACTGGCTTATACACTTTGTCAGGCTCATGCCAAATGTCTTCTGGGTACAGAATCTCAGACAACCCTCCTCACAGCCTGAAATGTCAGTGTGACTAAGCTGGAGAACGAGTCATGAGGAAAAAATGGGAATGTAGATAAAATTTGTTATAACTGTATTGATGGGAGTAGGTGGAGGGGTGGGAGATACACTTTGCTCTTCAAATGTCTAAAATAATAACTCAATTCACACTTGACCCTGAGCCTACTCTGGAAACTCTGCTGCCTACAAGGATATAATCCACATATATTTTCCTCTACACAAACCCAAGTTTTAGTTCTAGTTACAACATGACATTAAACAACTAACAAACTGCAGAGTTTGGGACATTCTTTCCTTGCTTTCTGAAATGGCTCATTTACTTTTGACCTTATCTCCAGTTGGTAATTATTTCCATACATATTCTGTTAGTGCCTGCACAAAATTATAAATTAATGTCTACCATTGCCTTTCAAAACTGCACTGATGGGACTCACTGTTAAATAGTGCCTCCCTTTTTTATTACTTTGGATCTTTTCAAGAAATCATATGGCCTGCTAAAATAATTTAATGTTGTACAACATCTAATGCAAATCATGCACCAAAGAACTTTACAGTGCCATTACAGATGTAAATTATGAAGAGAGAGTATAAAAAAATATTATGAACTAAAGAAAAAAAAATGTTTTCAGGTAAGATGTAGGATGAGACTAAAGCCACTGAGACAAATGCAGTAATAAAATGCAGATGATTTTTGTGAACTCAGAGAGTGAGTCACAGAACTTTGACTTTTTTGTTCTGCATTCCTGAAATTTCCTCTTTTGTGATAATGGTTCATGTCAAGCCCGAAGTCATTGTTAAAGGGAGGATACTGGTTACAGGTGCTTTAAATCTTTGACAATGTTGACATAAAAATTTAGAAATAGGAAAATACAGTGAATTGTCATATTACACATAAAGTAGCTTTAGTAAATGTCTCCGAGTCAGAGATATTCCAGTGCACAATGGCAAATAACCAGTTATCAGCTTTTTAAATGTAGCTAGATACTCTCATGACTGGACAGTTAAGATGCAAACTGGCTGTCAACTCAGCTGTCTCTTCATGCTCAACCGTTCACTGCATTAATACTTTTTTCTCCTGCTGTCAATAGTGAGAAATCATTTGGCTTTATTTCCATGATTCAAAAAAAGCCATAAGCCCAAATCTGAATTCTGGTGTTGGTGGCCAAATTCAGATTGCTAATGATTCCTGTACAGAGAACAGATCTGGCCCCATGTTGAAATCTGACTCAGCTTCTGCTCAGTTATGATGTGCAAAGGGTCTTATGATAATGTCCATTTGCACAAGACTGTGGCTTGATGTGAATACAGATCTAAATCACTGGTGTCTGAGCAACCAACATCTGCCACCAAGCTGAGATCTGAGGTGGCAACAGAAGCACTCTTTGGGCCATTCATCTGTCTTCAGTTTAGATAATTATAAAAGTTCAGAGAGAGAGTCAGTGCACCACAGGACTATGAGACCCTGATTTCTATCGGAGGCCCTTAGGCCTCATAATGCAGACTGTAAATCCAGTTTCTGGGTTCTCCTCTTAGCTTTTATTTCTCCATTATGTTGTGACCTTGTGTAGGAGCCACTGTGCTGAACTTTAATGTTGTGTTAGGAGCCCACAGTGCAAATTATACAGATAAGTGAATAAAGTTTCTTTATTAATGGTAAGAGTAAAGTGGTTTTGCCTCCAGGGGCACATCCTGACATCCTTACTTACAGACCATTATAGTCTTCTTGGATGTGTCTATTCCCAAGGCACCTACCTATCTCCAACAAGTGTATAGGAAGGTTTTAATCATGTAAGAAGGATGCTTCAAAAGGCTCTTACATTTGAAACACAGTTTGGACCATCTGAATTGGGCAGGCTGACTCCTGTACCTGCACCTCTTAAATTTTATTCCTCCCTTTTTCCTACTCTTCCTGATTCTTTAAGCTTTGGGTATTTTTCAGTCTTTGCCACCTTAATCTTATCTTTACTACTTTTTCTCCTCTCCTGCATTTCCCAACCTTCCCATTACTTCAGAAACTTTTTCCTTTTCCTCACTCTACAGTTGAATTTAACTTTCTAGTATTGAATGCTGAATGACTGTCCAATAACAGGTGTCGGACATTAGCAATGCTTGAAATACATGCAGAGAAACCTAAAAGGAAAACAAGACCCAGTCTCACAAAAAAGAAAAAGTTGCCATGTTTGTTGCTTGCATTTGACTGGGATATTTTTATTTTTTGATGACACTGTTTGAATCAAAGTCTCAACTATTCTCAATGGATGCTTTAATCATTACTGAATTAACTGCTCTGAGATGGGATATCTGTTTCTGTTAGAATATACCTCTTGGAACAGATGGTTGAATGAGTACATTGTGTTCAACTGGCTGCAGAAACTGACCACATATATTGGTGGCTGTGGTATCTGGATCTCCTGTACTTTATCTGACACAAAAATTACCTGGTGGAACTCCAAGGAGGTTTTCCCTGGGCATAAAACTGTGTAGCTTTTAATTGGGACCGCACATCAAGGAGCTGTTCCTG